TTTAAAATTTATTATTGACAACTGTAAAGAAAAATAATACACTACATAATTTATAAATTCAAAAATTAATAAATAAAATAAAGGATTTGGTTATCAATATAGAAATTATTAGAATGCATACCAATTTTTTTTTAATTTTTTAGGTTTCTAGAATAAATTAGTGAAGGAGATTGTTAGTAGAAAGAGAGAGATTTCAAATGGCCTCATTGTATGAATCCTATCTTTAAATTAATATTATTAAATTTATGTTAAAGAGCATCATGTTATAAAAATAAAAAATATAATTAGACCATTTATTCCTAGGTTGTATTAAGAAATACCTTTTATTTTTTTGACAATAAATACTTATTGTGTTATCTTTTATTTTTTTTTACAAGAAAAATATGATACTTGTTTATTATCTTTTTTTTTTTTACAAAAGAAGAAGATGTTGTACTACAATTTTTTTGCTTGTTGTATTACTTTTTATTTTTATTTACAAGAAAAATAAAAAAATAATGTTGCCAAAGTACATTTTATTTTTTTATGCCTTTTGTTTTATTTTTTTGTAAGAAATACTTGTTATATTACCTTGTATTTTTTTTACAAGAAAAATAAAAATTTGTTGTATTATCTTTTTTATCTTTTTCTTGAAAAGCCTTTTATTTTTATTTTTTTTCTATTTATTTACAACAGTATTTTCTGCCGTTGTTTATTTTTTTGACAACAAATTTTTTTTTGACAACAAAAATAAACGAGGACGTGCGCTAAAGTTCGAACTCTAAACGTTCACCGAAAAATCGGAGTTGTCAACCAACACCGCCACGTAGCCTAATGTGATTTTATTAGCTTCTATAATAATATATATTCAATCGTCTTGCTTTAATGATTTTTTTGTGGGAATTATCCCACATCGATGGATGAGTCTCGCTTTGTTCTCTATAAATTCCTGTGTAATAGATATTGCATTACGCGTGTAGAAAAGCGAGGGGGCAGACATATGAGGTGAGTTAGCACGTTTGGAGGACTTTTTGGTGCCACGTATTGCTCCCATGAGGCGGCCACGTGTAAATCCAAAAATTACTAGAGTGTCCAGGTTTTATCTATGAGACTCGCGATTCACTATTGGGAATCGCCCGGTTCTCTCTGGACACGGGCGATTCCCGGTTTTTTCGTAGAACTGGCTCGGAAGCAGACAATTCTCGAGTCGAACCGGGCTAATCCGGCGTGACTCGATGAGTTTTCAAACCGTAAGGAATCCTATAGTGAAATGTAAGGACCGATTCGTGGGAAAAATCATGATATAATGAGATACAATTTTAATTCAAACAATAATAAGATTGGGAAGAGAATCTTAAAGTTGTTTATCAAATTGTTTCTACAAGGACTATTTTTTTTTTGTTTTTGGGAAGGGGGGGTACTTATTACAATTAGTTTGGACTCGTTGCATCTTGTCTTGCTAGAGCGGCTTCTTCTTTTTCTTCTCCCTATATACATGGATAAATTCAACCTTTCTCCTTGGATAAATCCTTCATTTCACTCAATACAGATCGATCTCCATCTTGGAGATCTCTTCCCATAACCCCCAAAGGGGTGACCCTCATAAGGATGAGTATTATGTCTTTGTTGCTTCTTTTTTGTTCACAAAAGAAGCCCTTCTTTTTTTCCCATAATATTCTCAATTTTTTTAATAAAATATAGTTGTGGTGATCTTGATTATTACCAAACCTAACAAGCTCCACCTTGATAGGAAAATCATCAAACTCATCTTGTCGAACTTCATTGAATAGATTTCTTGATTTTTTCTCACTTGCCTCCATTATGGAATTTTCACAAATACTTTGCCTCTATATTTTTCCATCTCAAACCATGTATCCATCAAATTCAACTATTCATTTTTTTCTTAATGCAAGCTATAGCCCCATACACACCTTGTGCTCTGACACCAATTGCTCAATGACCCCTCGCATGTGGAACCGAGAATCCCAAATACTAAGATCCTACCCAAGATCGTATACATAATTGGCTAAATGCGAAATAGATGAATACAACTATAAATTGAGTACAAGAAATACAATAAACATAAAAAGCATACCACTATAATACACTATTTACGTAGTTCACCCTGTAGGGCTGCATCCACAACCTCGGCAAGTAGAAATCCACTTTCACAATGAATATTACAATTTTTGTTACAAGAGATAATATCTCTCTCTAAGCATCAGTAAAAAACCCTCCCCAATCTTCCCTTCTAAACTCGCAGTCTTGACCTAGCAACATCGTCGATCAATATCTTTCCCACCGCTATACCGCTATCGGAGAGAGCAACCAAGAGACAATCTCTTTAAAAGTAGAAACTTGACTAACTAAAAATCCTATAAGAATACCGCTTCTCTCTTGGAGACCATATCTCTCTCTCTCTTTTGAAGACTTATCTCCATCTTGGAGATCCCTTCCCATAACCCCCAAAGGGCGACCATCATAAAGATGAGTATTATGTTTTTGTTAGCCCTCTTTTATAGAGATCACTTAGCCTTCTTTCTTGTTTACCAAGGAAGTCCCTATTTTATTGTCCCATAATACCCTCAATTTTTTTAATAAAATATAGGTGTGATGATTTTGACTATCACCCAACTTAACACCCTCTACATTGTGAATAAGAAAAATACTTTAATTTACATTCTTTTCTTCTTTTCAGGTAATTCAGTGGGGGATGGGGTCTTTACCCGTGATAGGAGTGGAATTTAAGATATCATATTATAACAACCCACCATCTTGATTACCTAGCCTTGGGCCCATTCCTAAAATGATATTTTGTTGAAAAGGTCCGGAGTAGTCTTTTTTTTTTTTGGGTAGTTTAGTACGGATGAGATCCCTACTCATAATAGAAATATAACTCAATAGATCACATTGTGGTTCCCCACCATGCTGACCATATAGCCTTGATCTAGTTTCGTTTAAATCATAAAAGCTGTTTCCACTATTATCTTCTATTGAGGGGGCGGCACAACGACCGCTTCTGCTCTCTTCCACTCGGTATACATAATAAATATAAACTCTAACGTAAAATAGAAACAGAGAAACCCAAAAATAACAACAAAGCCCTTGAGTTTATCCTTTTTTTTATATATATATGGTAGATCAACATGACAATCGGTAGTGCAGTGACTACGCCTATGAAATAAATGATTTTCTCTATGGTCCTACGATCTTCTCTATAGACCCAATTTTCTTCAATAGCCACCGTGGATGTTGAACTATTTACAGTGATCGAGATCGAGTTGTTAGAACTCATCTCAGTATGAGTAGGGTTCGTATGAGAGAGAGAGATGCATTTATTTAGGGTTTGTCTTATAAGTATGATGGGTGAGAGATGAAAGGTTGACAGATCCTAATGAAATAATGAAAGGTTGAGATTGAGAGAGATTCTAATGAAAATGAGGTTGTGGGTCCGATCCCTAAGGCTTCTTGTGTACTTTAACCGATTCAAACCACTCC